AAAAAAAAAATTGGAAAACAAAAACAAAAACAGCTCACAAAGGCCAGTTAGTGATGGTGGCAGCAGAAGGATCACAAATTCAAGCTCAGCTTGGGCAATTTAGTGATTTAGCAGGACCCATTTCAAAATTAAAAATTCTAAGCTGGGTGTGGTGGCATATGCTTGTAATCCCAGCTCTTGGGAAGCTAAGGCAGGAAGATGACTGTGAGTTTGAGGCCAACCTGGGCTACAAAGTGAGCTCAAGGCCCACCTGAACTACATAGTGAGACCCTGTCTCAAAAATAACAGATAACATAAAAGGGGGGGGGGCTGGGGAGATAGGTCAGTAGTATAAGCGTTTGCCTGGCGAGCTCAAGGGCCTGAGTTCAATCCCCAGTTCCACCAAAAAAATAAAAACAACAGAAAGACAGATAAATAAATTAATTAAAATGGCTTGTACTCAATACACAAGCCTCAAGTTCCATCCCTAATAGTACAAAAACAACAAAACCCCACAAATATCCATCCACTGATGAACTGGTATACAAAATGTGGTATATGATAGGCTATTATTTGCCAATAAAAAGGAATTAAGTGGGATGCTGAGGAAGGAAAATGGCAAGATCAAGGTCAGTTTAGGCAACTTAGAGAGACCTTATCTCATAAAAGGGTTGGGATATAGCTCAGTGATATAGGTTGTGGGGGTCAATCACCAGTACTGAAAGAAAAAAAAAAAAAGAGACAGAGACTCAGACAGAGATTTGAATACACTTAGTTAAGGAAATGCTCAGGATTTAGACACTGATGCAAATTTCCCTGATTAGGTTGATAAACAGTTCTCACTCTGAAAGATTTTTTATTTTAACTTGTGATTTTAGGTCCGACTGCAGACACAGCCACCAAATTTGCCTGGACAACCTCCTATGTACACTGGGACCATTGACTGCTTTCGAAAGACTCTTGTTAGAGAGGTATGGTATTTGGTGATGGGCAGTTTCTTCTACTCAGAAGAACAGATGTAGGACATTTTATTCCTTTTAAAAACTCTCCTTGGGGGGCTGGTGAGATGGCTCAGTGGTCTAAAGCACCTACTTAGAATCAAGTTTAGCAAAGCCCAGGGACCACGGTTCCATCCCCCAGCACCACATGCCAGCCAGTCCTGCCCCCTGGTGGGCTGAGCTGGCCACACACACACACAAAATAAATAAATAAATAAACAAAATTAAAAAAAAAAAAAACCAAACCTCTCCTTGGGCTGGCCAAATAGCTCAGAGGATTAAAGCGCCTGCAAATAGGCACAGGGGCCAGGGGTTTGATCCCTGGGCCTGCCATACCAGCCCCACCCCAATCACTGAGACTTCCATTGACACTGGGCGTGGTGACATGCACCTATAATCCCAGCATTTGGGAGGCTGTAAACAGAAGAATCACTACGGGTCCAATCTAGTAGTGAGACCCTGAAAACCCTGTAGACCCTTCCCTAAAATACAGAAAAAAAAAGTTAAAACTCTCCTTGCTTATAGAAGAGGTAAAGGAGGCCATAGATTAGACAACACAGTGCTTCCCTGTTTTAGTACTATAAAGAATGGTGGTTTACATCTGTAATCCCAGCACTCAGGAGGCTGGGGCAAGAGGATTGCCATAAATTTGAGTCCAGTCTGAGCTGAATACTACTATAGTAGCCATCATGAACTACAATGAAAGACCCTGACTTTAAAAAAAGAGAGTGGTAGTGTGTGTAAATAGCTTTTGCTTTTGTGATTCTTTGCAGGGCATCACAGGGCTGTACCGGGGCATGGCTGCCCCTATCATTGGGGTCACCCCCATGTTTGCTGTGTGCTTCTTTGGGTTTGGTCTGGGAAAGAAACTACAGCAGAAATCTCCAGAGGATATACTGAGGTGAGTACTCAAAGGCCTGGCGCACTCAGTGCTGCTCTTCTTGGAGTATGATGTGGGTTAAGAAAAGAACCTCAGTGCCAGGTATGGTGGCATACACAGGACATGTCCCAGGGCTTTCCAGGAATGACTGCTAGGAGTACCATATGAGGGAAGTAACTAAGTTGTCCTGGGAACCAGAAAGGAAATAAACAAAGAAAAATGCCCCCTGCCCACTTTCCAGATTGTCACAATTTCTTCTAGGAGATAATATCAATTATTGGGGTTATTAATAATACCAACCCCTACAGAGCTGTTGGGAGATTTGAATGTGTTTAAAATGCTAGGAGTAGTACCTGGGACTGCTGTAATGCAGCAGCTTTGGAGCCCTTGCTTTTTTAAAAGATATATTTGGTACAGGGTCTAGGCACCCAATCTTGGTGGCCGGCTCAGTGCACCTAGGGGTGGAGCTGGTGCAGCATGTGGTGCCAGTGATTGAATCCAGGTCCCTACACTTGCTTAAACAGGTGCTTAGTCCAATGAGCTTTCTTACTTCCCCTCCCACCTTGCTTTGTACACTGCTATCTCTAAGAGAAGTCCTCCCAGCAACTTCCTGAAGATTTCCATGTGAAGTGAGACTTTGAAGCTGGCTACATGCAAAAGCAACTCTTAAACATTTTTTTTTAATGTATTTAGTACAGGGTCTACAGGGTCTCACTACACAGATCAGACTTGTAGTGATCCTCCTTTTTTTAGTCTCCCAAGTGCTGGGATTACAGGAATACACCACCATGCCCAGTCTCAGTCGCCATCTCACCGTGCCCCGGGAGTGGGGCTGGCAGGACACACTGGGAATCAAACCCTGGCTGCTGTACTCTGCCTAAGCAAGTGCTTTAATCCACTGAGCTATTTGGCTAGCCCATACAAAAGCAAAAAGTTCTATTTTGGGGGACAGTAAGATAGCTCAGCAGACTGAATGCTTGCTTTTTT